ATCAAATCAAGTATATAAGCTAAGTGTATACCTGTACAATTGTACATGTGTTTGTACATGAGTACAAATACACACAGCATTGCTGGGAGCCTACAGCTCATGACAGTAATACATTACACTTTCCTTAACTGTCTTGATATTCTTTTCAAATGCTTCTACTCAGTGGTACAAATAAATAAAAGTTCCTGCCAGTGTGCGAGCGGTGAGGGCACCAGCTGAGGTTCTGTGTGTGTCTTCCATGTAGGGTTGCCAGGTGTCTGGTTTTGAACCAGATAGTCCAGTATTTGAGTTTTCTGTTTGGGAAACAAATTGAGAAAATATAAATGTCCGGTATTTTCTAAATAAGATGTAATGTAGATTGTGATGTAATGTCAAGTCTGTCCGGTATTTTTGTTGAAACCATCTGGCAACCCTACTGCCATGTCTCAAGCCTGGGGACCCACATTACTTCAGGGGAGGGGCGGCTTGGAGGGCAGTACAGTAGCTAGAGGAGGTGCTGGCAGTTCTGCTCTCCTTCCCTTGCTGGGTGGGGCAGTGGGGAAGGAGCAGAATTGCCAGCTCTACTCCCCGCAACCCTGTACACAGAGATAGAGCTCCGTGGAGGGGCTGGGGGCAGGGCTGGGAGTTCTGCTTCTTTTCCTGCTCCCCCCACCCCCAGTGGGGACAGGAGCAGAACTTCCAGCTCCACCTCCACCCCTCCACAGAACTGCTGCTTCTCTGTGTACATGGAGGGGTTCTGGCAATTCTGCTTCTTTCACTGTTGGGAGGGGTAGCAGGGAAAGGAGTAGAATATTGGTGGCGCTGCTGTAGTGCTCTGAGGGCTTTACACAGAGACACTGCAGCCAGTGAAGGGGATGAGATGGCCGGCAGGGAGTCTTTCCAATACTCCATACTGGCTAAAAATAACTTGCCGGGTTGTACCAGCCTACCCACCAACACTACTTCTACTTCACAAGCAGATTCCTTCAAACAGGAGGAAAACACTTGTTTTTATTAATAAATGTGCCCAAACTGTTCCCTTTAGGCAGAACATTTCCAAATTGCTTGTTTCTTTGGAAATGTGAGCTTTGATACAGATTCAGATGTCATGCTTGAACTGCTCTTTAATTCTTTGAGGACTTAACACGTACCAAATATGAAATGTAGATGTAGATATATTTTGAATTATTGGAATGCAAAATAAATTGGTTGGTCAAAGATGTGCTTAGAAGTGTGACTTATCCAAATTGGGGGAGTGTGCAAATTATATTTTTATATTTATATTTTCAAAATTTCATAGAATAATCCTCAGCAGTTTGGCCTGAAAATGATCATAATACAATAAAATCGAATCCCAAAATGTCTTGGAAAGCTAGGAGACTAAACATGAGGATTTATAATGAAATGACATTTCAACCATAACTAAAGAAATATGGCAATTAATTCACTGCAGGATTGGGCAGTAGCAAAAATATGTTGGTGAGTGGGAGAGCTCACATTCGAATGTAAGGATTTGGTATGATACCAGGGTTATAGAAAAAGTTACCGGTTTAAGTAAGTTACTTGGTATAACTAGCTTTCTTTTTAATTTTTTTTCCTAACAAGTTTCCCTGGTTCTTAATCTTTCTGTAAATCTACGCTTTTTCAGTTTTCATTTTGAATTTCACTGAATTTTTTTTGGGCCAACTATCTATATATTAGGGATTTTAAAATGCATTTAATTAATCCTGTAACTGCTGAAAAATTCAGCCTTTGCACAGTTACATGTTTGGGGGCGGGGACAGCCGGCTCTCTGGGAGCCGGTATGCACGAGGAGTTTGCTTATAACCATGAAGGTTAACCGATGAGTCCAGCTCATCATTTAACTGTGTACCCAGTTACACTTTCAAATTTCTACTATGTGTATATGCAAATATAGATGTATATACCCAAATTCTGCTCTGAATTGCAACTTTTTAGCTCCCAACTTTTTAGCTCCCATAGCCAAATGTTAACATTTTGAAAGTAGAATTAAACCTATAAATATTTTAAATTAGTTATTTTTCTTATTGCTGTCTTTTTGCACAGATCTACACATGTTGTTTTTATAAGATGTGCTGCCATTGTGTTCTTTATTCATGTTAAGCCTGGTATTCTGATTGTACAATAATTAATTGTATTTAATGAAAAATATTCATACAGTACACTGTTTGGTATGTATTAACCTGAGCAGTGCTGCCCACTTTATAGAGATACATCAAATTTAGAATTGCTGTTGCTCTATCCGCTTCTGACTAGTTTTCTTTGTTTTTCTGCTATTGTGTCTCATTTTCATCTGAGCCACTGTTCCAATTGTTCCATGATTGACACACCAGAGAGATTGACAGTTACCCCCTAGTGCCTGCTGTCTAGGGGTCCCATAAGCAATAATGGATTTTGCACCAGAATTTAGCATCAAATATTGGTTTTCAATGTTAAATCAGAAATGCTGGATGAGTGTATCCTCTTAAAAATCATAGCTTTACACAAAAGGGTACTTGGGATATTTGTAATCTAAACTTTTATGTATTCAGTAGTTTCATGTTGGTGATTATTCTGGTTAAATCTATAAGTAACCACATAAATACATGGAAAACTTCTTGTGTGTAAGTGGGGATTTCAAATTTCAGTTTTAATTCAGTTCATAATTTTTCAGTGATTTGGTTTAGAAAATAGGAAGTACCTTTAACAGAGCTTGCACTGGAATTGTTATGATGTTCAGGATACCTGCTGTAAATGATAACCATCCTGTATCCCACGCATACAAACATGTACGGGCCCTTTCCTATCGTGATTTAATCACGTGCTTAAATTGTGCACTTCAGACCACGTTCTCTGGTATATTGTGTCCAAATAATGCAAAATAGATAGAAACTGTTCAGAAATGTCCAGTGGAGTATGTCTTCTGCACATGGTGATATCTCTTGTGGCATAAAACTGGTAGAGATGACATAGCCATAACTTGTTCCTGATTCCCCTCATTCCACAGCAACTCACATGCTTTAGGGTTTGATGGTCTCTAAACTGAATGCAGGTGAGAATCCAACTCTCTGAATAGTTCCATTGTCTTTGGTGGGTATTCTTCACAGTGCACACAGCACAAGTATAAGGGTTTTTTATTATTATTGGGGGGTTTAATCATGACCCAAGATTATACATTCGTCAGTGCAAGGACCACGTTTTCGTTATGTGTATGTACAGTGTGTAAGCTTGATTGATGGGTTGGGACCTTTAGGTGCTAACACAATGCATATATAATAATTGATTGCATAACATCTGCGTGGTGGACTTTTTTTTGTATAGCTGCCAACAGTGGTAATGTAGGATGCAAACAGAAAAAGACTACTTAACACAGTTTATAAATAATATTTCATTAAAATTGCTTCTATTTTTTATTAAGAAAAAAACCTGATTTATAAATTTAAAAAATATTGTAAAGGTGTTTCCTGGTACAGGAATAGTCAAAATGAAATAGAATGTTTATAAAAAGAAACTGAACAACTAATTGCTAGTGCATTAAAGGAAGAAATAATTACTTATTTTTGGCATTAATAGATTAAATAAGGTATAATTGTTATTTTAGGGAATAATTCAATTAAAATTAAGTTTAGTGTTACTAATCTTGATGTGATAGAATGTTGTGCATATCTAAAGTTAATAAACGTAGTTGCAAACACTTCTGTTTCAACACTTTATCTTAGTTCTTGTTACTGGTTGAATGCAGATTTACTTAGTGCATAAATAGGAATGCAACTTTAATTCGATTAACTGGCCATGATTGCAGGAAAACTTTCTCTCACTTATCTCAACTCAGAAATTGTAAAAGCTAAATTAGAGAGCTTTTTTCATTATGAATTAATTTAAGTCTGTTTGAAGATTATTATTTCTCACTTATATTTCTGTCCATAGTTGTCTTGATACAAATCTTAATCTTACAAGTGCTGTAAGTTTCTAATGTAAATCTGATAAACTGGTTTTTTAATCAGTAAGGCTAGCAAAAACCATAAAAAATGTTTGATGTTTATGCTTAACTGCTGATGTCTTTTTCACAATTTTAAAAGTATTATTAAAGAAGTGGATTTTTTTGGTCCTTTTGTTGAATTTTGTTATAAATGATTTTGCAGCAAGGCGTTTACTGCCATGCAATAGAAAAAAAGTCAGCTTTTATTATAAATTTTATTTTTAAATATCTGTTTGTGTGGTGATGAGCTTCTTGTTACTTGAACTTCTAGATGGTTGGGGTGAGCAAAATGAGTGCATGTTTTCTTAAACATCTGATTAGGGAAGCATTACCTTCTAATGTACAGGCCATTAAAGTCTCTTCTGAAGGTGTTTTTCCTTTTTCTTTTAAGTTTCATGTATATATTACATTTTAATCTAGACATTATTAAATATGGACTTAACACATACATTCTGGCTACGTCTACACTGGCCCCTTTTCCGGAAGGGGCATGTAAATTTCACCAGTCGTCGTAGGGAAATCCGCGGGGGATTTAAATATCCCCCGCGGCATTTAAATAAAAATGTCCGCCGCTTTTTTCCGGCTTTTAAAAAAGCCGGAAAAGAGCGTCTAGACTGGCCCCGATCCTCCGGAAAAAGTGCCTACTTTGAAGTAGGAATAAGACCCTCCGGAAAAGGGCACTTTTTCCGGAGGATCGGGGCCAGTGTAGACGCTCTTTTCCGGCTTTTTTAAAAGCCGGAAAAAAGCGGCGGACATTTTTATTTAAATGCCGCGGGGGATATTTAAATCCCCCGCGGATTTCCCTACGACGACTGGTGAAATTTACATGCCCCTTCCGGAAAAGGGGCCAGTGTAGACGTAGCCTCTAAGTTCAAAGCAAGTCATTCCTATAACTTGAAAATTGCTGTCTTTTTAGTGGATTGAGTGAGTTTTCATTTGCTTTTTAAAGAATTAATTTAAAGTAGAATAATTTAAAACAGTGCCATTGTGACAAGGTTATTTATATCAAGGTTGCTAATGTCATTGCAACATTTTCTTAAAGGATGCCAGACAATCATATATAGAAAATAAAGAAAAAAACATGAAGGCGAGAGAAGATGCCCTGGCTAGAGCTGAACTTGAAACACTTCAGAGTGAGTTTTTATTACTGTCTTAATACACAATGAATGTAATTTATGATAACATACGTAACTGCAGAAGGTAAATAGGAAAATATGCTTTGATTGTTCTGAAATTTGTTTTGCAAGGTTTTTATGCAGTCTAGTGAAAGTGACTTCTGTGATATGACTTTTGAATGATTTCACTTAACCTGAGACAGGTTGTGTCCAGTAACGACTTTGGTGACATTGTTTTCAGAAACAGTCTCAGGTTGTATCTACCTATAATTGCAGGTATGTCTTATAGTGCTTATGTGCATATGGGGTAGATGTCTGTGTGCTATAAAATGCACCCATAGTTACGTGCACCTATAAAAACTTAGAGGCAGACTTCAGGTGCAGAGTTGTGACACTATTGACATTGGAACTTTAGGGTAGAAGATCCCTCTGTTCTTCATACACAAAAGTGAAAGCAAATAAGTAACTAGCATACATATTTTAATAGTGAGGCTTGGATGACTTTCCCTTTTCTAATTCCTTTTTTTCATCATAACTAAACTTTTAAAACTTGTTTGTAAAAGAAGCCAAAATGTATTTGTTTGAAATGAGTATAATGTTCCTCTGTGCATTTTTTTTATTTTGGTGTGTGTACTTAAAGCTACTAAATATTGTGAGGCATAGAATATACATAAGGAAAACCCTTTAGAAATTAATAGTAAAGTCCCATTTTCCTATGGTCCCAGGGTTTTGTAAAATCAGCAGAGATGGCTTAGCATAATTTGGTACTATCTCCCCTAAGCCTCAAGTACAAAGATCATTCTGCTTTTCAGTTGATACAGACTGCCAGCTACAAAATTGGCTTTATATTTCATCTTGCAAATTGTGGGATAGCAGTGTGAAAACTGCAACAGTGTTTATCAGTCACTTCATGATATTAGAATGCATTGTCATTTTGTTTCATTTGAATGATGACCTACAACAAAGTTTTCCAAACTGTGCTCCAGGGATTACTGGGGCTCCATGTGCTGTGTCCAGGGGCTCCATGAGAAAATATTAATGACAGTTACATGATCCTGTAATTTTGTTACTAATTTTCTGATAGTTTTCTTGAAAAAAAAATGATAAGAAATAAAATAGAATTCCAAAACTTTGTATATTTATTTGAGTACTTATTGAATTTTTTAAAAATCATAATATTTTAAGGGCTCTGCCAAATTTTCAGGACTCCCTAGGCCTATAGGGTCTCTGTGGCTTAAGAAGTTAGGGAAACCCTGACCTAGAGCATATCAATTACAATCTTTTAATATTTTGTTTAAAAAGACTAGTTATGATGCTAGAAGTGCAAATCAAACATGAAAACATGAAAATTGTAGTGGTTTATGATCCTATGTTCATATTATTTTTTAAATGGCAGATTTTTTTCAGCATTTTTCTCCTCAGTACAGGAAGTGCAGGGAGAGGCAAAGATATTAATTATGACCCTAATTAGTAGAGTTTGTGGTGGAATTTGACAAAGCCTTAATTGGGCTACTGACACTGAGCAGTGCAGTTATTGGCTAACGATGTGTTGTCCATCATATATTTTAAAAATGATATTCAAAAGTGTTAAACATTTTACAATGTTCAAGACTGTGTGTTCTGAAGTCAAAATATGTAATAAGAAATCTCCAGCGATTGCATACAAAACAAAAATTCTTTTAAAGTTAAGTTCATTGTTTACTTCAGAATTAGCATATCAAGGTTGACAATCCCCAAATGTGCATTTCAATTGCCCCTTTCTTTCTTAATTTTAAAGACCATCAGTGGACTACTGAGTTCATAATAACATTTCCATCTATCTAATTGAGTAAATGCATCTCATGCAGATTAGTAATAGCTGTTTTACGCTGCCTGTTTTTCATGATCTAATTGCTAATTTGCCCTCATGTCTATCTGCTTTACTGTTGAAATTGTGTAATATTCTCTGGGGGATCGAACTAGAACCAGTGCAAAGGGGAATTCCCTATAACTTGCAAATAGGAGAGAATGCAGCATGGAGGTCTCATTAACGTGATGCATTGCTAGAGAAGATACAAAGTGTGAAAAGGTAATTTCTTGATAAGTAAATATTATCCTGCCAGGGAAATCTCTGTGTAGAATTTTAGCTTATTCTATTGACACCTGTGCATGATTCCTGTTAGCACTTCTCACTATACAGTAAACCTTTTATCACCTCACCTCATGTTTGTGTAAAATATAATTATTAAATCCTCCATAAAGTAGATATTTATAAAAATGTGGTTTATAGAAAGTTTTTCTATTTATTGCAATTATATGTAGCTATGTTTTTAGTGACAGAGCTGAAAATATTTATTATTTTAACATGTGAATTTTCTCATTTCTCTATTTAAATTCTTAGGATGCTGGGAAAACCATAACTTGTTACAAGGATACCAGAAAAGAGAGACAACCCAATTCTAAAGTGCAACTTTATTTGTAGAATTAAAAGTGATTTTTCATTGAACTAATAGTATACATGTTGGTAATCCCTGTGGTAAGGGATGTTCCTGTGACTATAGTTAGTTCCTTCTAAATTTTGGTGTTAAACAGGTGATTTATAATTCTTGTTCAGTGATCACCAGACTAAGTAGCCTTAGGCTTCCTAAGACTAGCCAGCTATCCATTTTCTCAGTTGGGAACTCAACTTACTTTAAGAGTTTAAGCAACTGCCAAGTCAAACTTTGGCAGTATATACTGGTTGGTTTCTCTCATGTTTTGGGGAGTGTACATTACAGAGTTTCTGAAATTCAGAATTGTAAAGGTCTGCTTTTGAGATGTTTTATGGGTCTTTTTTAAAGAGAGTTCAAGCACAAGTTGAAGGCCAACTGGATTTGAAGGTACTAAGCACCTCTGAAAATCAGGTTTGGGAGCTACATCTGCTGAAAGTGCCAAATGTTAAAACAAACGTATGTGTAAATAAGAAGAATTGGGGGGTGGGAAACCAGACACCAGGTTAAAAAGATACATTTTGTTCAACATATTTGAGGAAGGGGGAAGACAAAAGTGACCTTTGAGCTATCTTTTTGCCTCATCCATTCATGATGCCATCTCGCTATGCAAGGCAAGGGTATTGGATGGTATAATACTGACTTTACATCACTGGGAGAGACTCCCATCTATCCATTCTTCTTCGAGTAGTGTCCCAGTGGGTGCTCCACTGTTGGTGACCAATCATCCCCACAGCTGCAGATCAGAGCTTTTCAGAGCAGTTATCAGCTGGGCCACACGTACGCGAGAGGCACCTTGCACTGTTCGTGCTTCAGCGGCTCACGCACACGTGACATGTTCCCTTCCCTTCCTTTCCCCAGTTCCTTGCTTACCGCCCTTTGGTCACAGACGGAGCTCTTCTCTCACCTAAAGTGTCTTCTCCTCTAATTATGTTCTTCAAATTTAATAGTTTTATTAGTTCTAGTGTTGTTTTCTAACTACATACGTTTGTTGCTCTGTCAAAAAAAAAGGGGGGGAGTTCTTTGTTTGAAGGGTCGCAGGCAAACTGTCTCCTTCCTGACCCCCTGTTCCATCGTATGTTTAAAAAAAGAAAAAAAAAAAAAAAGCAGAAACGAACAAACCAGAGCAACAAGCAAAGAAAGCATTAAGATGATGATAATACAAAGCAAAAGACTAACTGCCATATAAACAAACCGTGGTCTCACTAACAATACAATGCTGGGCTCTCCAGGGTTTAAGTAATGCAAGACCTGTGGGGGATCTGTCGAGGGGCAACCTACTCTGGGAGGCCCCTCAACTTTAGTCCTCCTTGCGGCTTACCCAGAGCAACAAGCAAAGAAAGCATTAAGATGATGATAATACAAAGCAAAAGACTAACTGCCATATAAACAAACCGTGGTCTCACTAACAATACAATGCTGGGCTCTCCAGGGTTTAAGTAATGCAAGACCTGTGGGGGATCTGTCGAGGGGCAACCTACTCTGGGAGGCCCCTCAACTTTAGTCCTCCTTGCGGCTTACCTGCCGGGGCCCCTACACGTGTCCTTCCCTGAGGGACATAATACTGCCCCGCAGCCAAAGTCCGTACCCAGACCCTTATGGCAGGGTTAATACAGCCTGGCGGCCAGAGTCCATTCCTCAGTCCCCTCTTATTAGGTATAATATGACCCAGAGGCCGAAGTCCATCCACAGGCCCTTATAGCAAGGTTAATATGGCCTTGAGGTCTAGTTCACAAGCTTGTAGGCACCTCAAGCCACCTACAAGGTGGTAGAGGGACCTGGGCCCTCCTACTCCATAGCCCTGTAGACCGTGGCTGAGGCCGCTGCTACACTCAACGGGGAATCCTTCCCCAACACACTGAGCACTCTAGGGTGACTCACCACCCTAGGCTACTTCCTACTGGGGTCTGGCGGATGTCTGCCCCGTGATTTCCCCATAATCCTCTGGCCTTGCAGGTAGTAGTTCCTGGCCTGGCTGCCGCTGGAAGCTCTAGTCACTCTTCTGCTCTAGAGTTATCCCAGCAACTCCTTCCCCATCAGCCCCAACTGAGTTGTCCCAGGGCTTTTTATAGTCTGGTTCCTCCAGGAGCATGCCCAGCAGAGCTGTGGGGGAGGGGCTCTTTCAACCAGTTGGGCAGAGCTTACTCCCTGCTCTTCACTGCAGGGTTGATATACCCCGTCACAGGATCCCATGCCTGTTTCTGAAAGACACTCTTCATGTATACGCTGCTTGGATGAAGCCCACAAAAGTGAGCACTGTCACAGTCTTACTGCGAGAGCCAGAAAGGACAGGGAGCTTCAGCTCCACTTGATTCTATGCAGCCCACAGAGGACCCAGAACCCTCCCAACCTCCCAGAGAGTCTAATAAGAAAAGGGCTTCTTCTCCACTGCAAAAGTGCCCAAGGAAGTGAACCTCCCCTGCGAGATCCCTCCCGCCTAACCCGTCTCTAAGGGTTAACAAGGGAGATAAACCCAGCACCTCTGATACAGTGGTATCGAGACCACCCACCGGCACCACCTCTATTGCTGCACATAACACCTCAGTGCCA